TGATTGTTTACATTGACGCCATTCACCTCGATGGCCTGGATGATATTTTCCGAAGTTATCTTGTACACGTTCAGCATGTCCAGATATATGCGGCCCAGTTGAATGACATACGCGTGTCCCAGGGCTTTGCAAGCGGCCACATTCGTTTTAAGGATGCTGCCCAGCTGCTTGACAGCCGTCATGTTCTTCAAGAAGTCAACGTTTTTGGAGGCACGGGATATAATGTCATCCCACACCTGGTTGGGCAGTTGCATGTACCTCTCGATGAGCACGTCTTGTTGTAGCTGATCTACCTGGGCGGAGATCATGTAGCCGACAGCTTCATAAAACGTGTGAACCTACAAACGCATGTAAACATTAGTATTCTATCAAATCACAATCTTAAATATTTTGTTTAATAAGTTTCAAATGTTGTAATCAAGAAAGGCACTACCTGCTGCGGCTGCAGATCACAAATGATACTGCTCATTGTTGTGAGAATCTCGTCAATAAAGGTGCAGGCCTCATTCGGCTGGATGGTGACAAAGTAGCGGCGGCACTTAATGGCTATCTTGATAAATGTATCGCATGCCATATCCTGGACACCATCGTGCGTCTCGTGCATAAATTCGAAGAGTTTGTTTACCACCGTCTTGAGGAACTTCCAGTGGGCGCGCAGGAAGCGTGGATACTGCCCCACCACATACATGATATTGGAGGCAATAATGGCCTTGTTGTCCTTGCCCTTTTTCTGTTCGCACAGGCCTAACAGATCCTTGATGACGGTGACCAGGAACCGTTTTTCGTCCTCTTCACAGAAAGCACCTGTAGAGTAGAAACAGCACAAAAAATACGGAATTCATATTTGCAATTAATAATAACCAATAACCAAGTACAGACTGGGAAAACAAAAAAAAAAAAAAAAACAAAAAATGGCTCACCGGATATGGAACCAATGGCCCAGCACAACGTGTTCAGGTTTTTCCATGAGAATTCCGATCCGTTCACCTGATTAAGCAGCTTTAGCGTCATTATGCGGTCCGTGTCCACAGAGTCCAAATGGGTAAGAAAGACCAGCGTTTCGCGCATGTTCTTGTATAGGTTGATCGAGTTTGTGTCCTTCATAAACTCGCGCACCACTTCGCCGTTTTCGTTCTCCACCACAAGCACCTCCTCCGGCTTGGCCATGCGTGAGATCATAATATATCGCACTTTGGACAGGATGGGGGCGTAGAAGCGTCGGCGGGGATACACTTGTTGCCTCTTCGTAGACTCCAGGGTGGGGTGGAAGAACTCCGAATTGTATAAATCCTCCACAAGGCTGTTCCAGTATTCAAGGCAGATTTTAAATACCTCCACGTCCTCCACCTCGCTAATCATCACCAGATACATGAGCGCCTGGTTCAGGTAGTCCACATACTTGGCATCCTCGACCAGTTTACCGTGCTCCTTGAGGAAGGTGCACAGGAACATGGCCAAATTAAGAACCAGCTCCTGCTCCGTGTCGGAGCCATGCTTGAACACGTGGTTCATGTTCATATTCTGGCCGACTATCTGTTCCAACTGCACCATCGTGTCCTTGAAGAGCGTCGCGAAATTTTCGTCGTAGTTTGCCGCAGTCAGGCCGGCGATCTCGGACAGGCACTTCAGGGTCACATTCCGGAACATGGGCACGCTAAGGAATTTGAATATCAGCGTTTCAATCTGCTGCGTTTCAAAGATGTAGCCCAGCGGAATCCAGTTTAGGAACCTCAAAAGGGTCTCCAGTGTGACGTGGATTAGGGCTGCATTCATCGAGTTCTCCAGCACGAAGGAGCATAGTGTAAAGATCTGAGAGAACTCCGAGCACATGGTGTCTTTCAGGTGCTTAGCCTTAGTCTGCGTGATCTGACCCTGCGAAAAGTCGAACACCTCCTCACTAAGGTTCTTCAGGATGACCATGTTGTTCATGCACAGGCTCTCGTTCGTTTTGGACGCACCGACAATGTCACTGATGAATGTCTCCCAGTTGCGTGGCCATTCGCGCTTCAGAATGTGGACCAAAATCATGTTAAGCTTGTTCAGATACACTTTGTTCTGCTCCATAATATTGGGATCCGACGAGGTCTTGATGATCAGACTGACCACATACTTCTTAATTCCCTCGCACTGGTTGCGCGGAAGGACCTTCCAGCGCGTTTTGATGACCTCCTCGAGGATTTGCAGAGCATAAAACTTGGTCCGCTGATTCTGTGAGTACTCCAATATGCTGTCCACCCGCGTCCACGCCTCCGGATGCTCCTTCAACGTGGTCAGTATGCTTTGGGCGAGCCGCAACTGCTCACCCTGCGCTGTGTACACAACCTCGACAATCTTGTCCAACAGATTAATGTCGAGCTTCTGGGAGAAGTCGAGCAGCTTGCTCGCCTCGTCCGATGTCAGCATTGTCGCCATCGCTTTGTAGTAGAAGCGGCGTTCGCGTCGGCGTCGCTCTGCAGCTGTGTCCGCGTTAATTTTGATAGCTTCTTGGCTTCCTCCTCCGCCGGATGATCTCGGATCTCACGTTTTCCCCTTTGGATTTCTTGTTTTTCTGTTTTTTATTCTATTTATCGGATGTGTGTGGCGGCTTCTGCTTCTTCTTCGCACTCTGATGACGGTGAGGAGCGGCGACTCTCGATCTGGATCGAGATCTGGATCTGGTGCCGGGACTGGACCTGGAGCTGTGGAAAGAAGACCGTTGGTTATACATATTGCGTACTTCTCTGCCTGTCGGCAGGCAACCATTATTTCTTTTTTGTTTTCTTATTTCATTTTTTTGGAACACACAACTACAAGCACACGCTTACTGCCTGCGCGCGCTTACACTTTTTCGCACTCGCACACATACAAGCGCTCGGCCCACCACACACACGCACACACTGGCACAGGCGAACGCATCGCCGCCGCAAATGCGACGAGCAACTGCGGCGGCATTTCACAATTTTCGGAGCTTTTCACACGCGCCAGCGAGGACGCGGTGCGTAATAAACAATCATACACGTGCAATTCACTTATGCAGCTTACCTTTTTCCAATTCCAGAAAAGAGCAGCGTGTGAAAACGACGACGACGGACAATGCGAAATGCAATTTGTGTGAACAATGTGCCCGTATTGTGCTGTACTGAGTGTTGGTTTGGTGAAAACATATGTCCGCAGCCCTGGTGGCAGACATGCACGGAAAGCGATCGATAGCTGTGATGTGCTATCGATGGGAAATCGAATAAAATAACTGAATGGTATGGAATGAAGATTTTTAGCTTGTTAGTTTATTCAAAGTCTGCTATAAAGCTTTTAGAACTTTAAATACGTTACTAATTGTCAGTTTATATTATGGACAGTTTATATTTCTTAAATGTAACTGTTTTTCTAGTCAACTAGAAAAACACCTTATGATTTATTACATTAAAAAAAATAATAATAAAATGTGTTTTCATTAGCAGGCAAATAATTCAGACAAAAAGTATTAATTCACTATCTGTCTGGTTTATTTTAACGATCGAATAGCGGTCGATTTTTGGTGAATAGTTTACTTTCGATATTGCAATAAGAATCGATTTAATCGATGTAAGCATCATACGTAGCAGGTTCGGAAAAGAAGAAGAGCTGCGATGTCCATTTATTTGTTATGTTTGACAACAAGCGGCGGATTACCCGTGTTTACACGAAAGAAGGGAGAATGCGAAAATGTAAGAGCAACTGATTGCGTTTCTAATCACTCCTAATCATCTTTCTCTTATACAGCTGCCGTTTTCCACGGTGGCCTCTCTGAACGGCTTCCACATGTTCTTTAAATCGCTAGGGATCCAATTGGAGGCCACAACGACCAGCAAACAGCAGCCAATCCAGAATCAGGCTCCCGCGGATGCCGAGGAGTGGATTTACATATGGCGGGACAGGGAATCCATCACCCTGATTGTCTGCGGTTGCGGCGTGGGGTCGGAGCAACTGCTTCAGACGCTGGCTGATCTTGTCTTTGGAGCGATAGGCATGTTTATCACTCGGGCCGCGGAAATGGCACATGCCACCCTCCTGGACAGACTAAAAAAAGACGCCAAGAAGTATGTTCCGATTGTGGACGCCATTCTGGACGCCGCCTGTGCGGGCACACAGCTCCTGGGCTACACGGATTGCTTGCTGGCGGCGGAAAACGCCCAGTTGCTTCAGTGCCTTAACGAGTTTAGTGGCCACTGCGGTTCGCTCTTTTGCTGCCTCGTTGTAGGACATCGCATCGCAGTTGCCACAGAGGGCTGGTGGGATCTGGACACTCGGGACCGCGAGCTTCTGCTGTTTCTGTTGAATTCATCGAGCACACTGCAACACGATGTGCCGGTCTATTTGCCTGTTAAAAGTCCCCATATAGCGTATCGCTTTGTCAGCATTCCCGTGGCCTCCAACAGTGCTCTGTGTGTCCTGTGTGGCGCTGAGAATGCCTCCTTCCGAGAGTTACATGCACATGCTATGAGTGCCTACCGAAATGAAGGCAACCTTCTGGCAGCCGCCGAGCGCTGTGTGCCGCGTAGCCTGCCCGAGCACCTGGAGATCGATGGAAATGTGCTGGCCATCATTCTTATTAATCGACACACGCGAAAAAGTCTCTTTACCAGAAATCTAAACCAATCGGCGAGTGTCAAGCGCATCATTGTGGGCGATCTACAGCGCTTAGACATTCTTAAAAAGTTTTTCGATCAAACTATGGATGCAGTCCACCAATTTGAAGCACAGCCGTCCAGCACTAAAACGACTTTGGTGGACCAATATAGCTGCTCGGACTACCACAAGTGCTATGCCCATACGGATGAGCTAGGAAATGTCATATTTTTGTTGTTTGTCGCAGCGGTGCCCTCGCATGCAATGAGGTTTGATTTAAATTATTTACTTTAAAGAATGAGTTGTTCAATCAATTTATATTTACAGATTCCTAGCTCAACGCATCCATGCTAACATACTTCAGGAGAAGTCAGTATGCTGGTGATCCGATTTGGCTTTCTGAACTTAAAGACTGATTTTCGTTACTACTTTTCGATGCAATAATGTACTCTTTTGAGGCGAATGCAATTATATTTAACCAATTATAGATACAACTCCTTTATAAAGTTAAGCCTAATTCGCGGCGAATGTATGGTACATACTAATATGGCTTTAATGGCATACAACTCCGTCCTTAAAAATACTATTAATATATTATATATGATACTGCAAATATACAATATGCGCTAACATGTATTTTATGCTTTTAATACAATATTGTATGGACGAAAGTGGACCAATAAGTTGTTTTTTAGCTCTAAGGGCTTAATCTTCGGATCGATATAAAATTGTACTTTTGAGCCAACTGTAAGTAGCGTTGTTTCTCCTTTTGGAGGAAGAATGTTGAAACTTGACCCATTTTCAGGTGCTACTAGGGCCATGGTAACACCATACTGGTTTGAAACAGACAAAATTCGAACCGTGTGTGTGGGTGCATGGTTTTCCAGTTGACGCTGATCCATTCGCACTTTTTTCAGGACTTTACGGAATTCTTCGGCATAGCCTCCTCTTACAAAGCGCTGCTTTGACATCAAATTTACCCTATTCCGGCTTATTGACAGGTACTGCCTTGGACTCTCGTAAGGCACAAGTTGAATAGCTGGTGAGGATTCAATATAGCTATCCTCGGTCACACCGGGGCAGTTAGATTTGTTCAGCGAGCTTTGGCTTAACGATTTCCAAGAACTTTGGAATGAAGACTTTGTCAATTGTTGAGGAGTAGGTGGATCAGAGTCAATGCTGCAGTCCTCTGACAAACCGTTGCAAGAAGCTGTTTGGGTCATTAATGATTTCCAAGATGTTTGGAATAAAGAGGTTGCTTCACGCCCTTTATATGAAACTGAGGGAGGAGTTCTTGGGAAATTCTGGACCGCTAGGGGCAATGCTTTTGCTCTTCGCCTCATTCCCGGCCAACTGGTGTTCAGATGCTGGGAACATGATGAGAAACTGGAGTTTCCGGGAGAATCCGGTTGACTGCTGCTCATGCCGGACTTGTTAAGCGTCTGCCACATTGTCTGGAACCTGGAGAGAGTGTTCTTCTGATGAGTGGATGTGGACTCCGCCAAAATAATTCTTTCGTTGTCTCTGGGTATGTTTAAGTCCTTTGACGTAAAGTGCTGCTTGACCCTTGGACCATCCTCATCCGGGCTGTTTTCCTGCTGATCGTCTTCCTCCAAAGGGAATCTATGTTTACGTTTCGAGCCCATATTTCTCGAGAGGAACTACATTTTATGAAGTTTATATAGCCGCGAATGGAAACCAGTGTGACCACACCAAAATGATAACGTATGATAGGTAATCGAATAATCGATAAGGCGAGCTACGAAATTATTGGCGCCAATAATATTATTTAAAATGTAATATCGAAATCGAATAATATTTTGAATCTTAAAGAACTTGATAACAATTTAAACATTTATTAGTTAATACATTTCTTTATATAATATTGTATAAAATAACTAACAATGCGTTTTGTGTTTGAATAAATACTACGCGAACTGCTCTGCTGATAAATGATTTATTATCATAGCGATTACGTATTGATGAATGATAATGACAATAATTAAATTTCTACGAATACAAGGACTGGTTCTCAAAATTTACCACAACAAAGTCTTATCACGGATCGTACTTGTCGATAGAGATTCATTGAAGGCAACCGCCTATTTTCCATTATTTATGTTATGAATGGCATATTTATAAAGTGTATTTATGGGCTTTCCTCGCTAGCGGATTTCGACTTGCTGCACGCCGTTTGCGTTTGCCGACGATGGTTCCCAGTCCCGAAACAGTGCCCAACTGGAGGAGTAGAGGATTGCTGACCAGGGCTGCGGCGATACCAAGAACTGCAGCGCTGGCCAACGGGATGAGAAAGCTTTTGGCCAACAGGGCTTTGGGGGATACGTCGCCGTATCCGGGTCCCTTGTGCGTGGCTATCTCGTGGTGATCCAGCGGATACGGATACGCATACTCGGGCGGTGAATAGTGACCATGTCCAACACCGTGACCCGGTCGCGATCCATATACATCGAAGGGAATACCAGCCTCTACACTGGAACTGCCGAAATAAGCGCCGCTGCCAGCTCCACCTGCTAGACCAGCTCCCCCTATGCCTCCTCCGCCGTTGACATGGGAGTACTCGTAGGGATACGGGTGGGAACTACTTTCAAAGCTGCCCACATTCGGTGCATGCGATGCCCCTACTCCTACGGCTCCATAGGGACCTTTTTTGGGAAAAAAACTAATTAATTTCGCTTCAGTTATAGAACAAGAAAAAATAAGTGGTTTAGCTAAGTTTGTTTTAAATACTAATAATAGAACAATACTTAACTAAAAGGAATATATTAAATGTATTATATATTATATATATTAAAATGAATAGGGTTACGCATTCCCGGTTATTTGTTTATGGCCACTCACCCACACTGATACGATCCTGGAGATGTGCACCTCCAGCTCGCCACCTATTGTAGGTATCACTCAGACTTTCGCCCACACTTCCCAGGGAGGGATGACCGCTGGAACTTATGGGTGAGTTGACTTCCAATCCTCCTCCTGAGGCTGGACCCCTGTAGAATTCGGGCGGAGGTTCGAAACTCTTGGCGTTGGCCGAGGCAGCCAGGTCCAGTTGGCTACCAGACCGCTCACTAACCCGCTCATCACTTGCATTTTGGGCCACGGCGAGATTCGTCCAGAAGATAAGGCCAATTGTGACCCGAAGCTTACGATTGCGGGCGAACATGATGACTAAGCTCGCCGGCGCCATGTCATCGACTTTATAACAAATCCGAGGGATTGCAGGCGAGTGGCGACAAATTGTGGTGTGCAATTTGGAGCTAAAAGTGTCCGCTTCGCTGCGTCCATCATCAGTTGCGCCAATCTGGTCGGGAATTTCACTTTCCTTAACAGGTAGCGTCTAGTGAGCAATGCCTAACTCAACTTAACTACACAGAAAATAAAGTATTTAAGTTTACGGATATTCATCCGTCAAAGATCAAATTTAAAAATATTTAGAAGGAAACAAATTGTAAGACATTGAATAATTTATTTCAAAACTATAATTACAACTTTCATTTTTAAAAAGTGCATTAAAATATATATACATATGTTTTTATGGTCACGTTTCTAAAAACCTTAAATATTTAAATTTCAATGGTATTTTTTTCAGTGCACTTAGAAGAGGTAATGGGACCACAGAGGGTAGCAATGTTTGTGGAAACCCCGAGGGGGAATCTGCTCATACCAAGGCAGTCATTCGAAATGATGCCAAATCACAAGGCAGCTAAGAATCGTTAAGAAATTATCACCGTTCCCGCTGGCTGCAATCGACAAAACGGCAGCAACTTCAGCCAAAAAAACATGACCAATTCATTAGATGTATGTATGTATGTCCAATTTGGAAGGGAGATGCAAAACGATATAAAACGGCAGTGACTGATGTCTTTTGTTTCCGGCAGACGATTCCCGATTACAAAAATGGAAGTCTTTTGGAACGTGTCACCTTATCAGCTTATTGGGAATTGCGCTGGTTTTTTGCGGAATTTCGCTATCTCCACAAACCAGTGAAATTAAATATGATACATTTTTGTCACTTATCACGTTATTTCCCATAATCTAAGCCAATCATGCTACACGTTTCGAATATTTCCTCTTTGCATTGCACTGGTGTTCTCTTAAGCCTGATTTTATTGATTCTACGACCTTGTCGTTGATATTACACAATGAATTGCGACGTACAGTATAGTGAATTAAGTAATGTTCGGGCTTAACTGAAACTGGGGCAAGTAAAGTCTACTTAAGCTTCATAGCAACGTAATAGTCCAGTCTGATAACTTTAACGCAATAAACAACATTTTGTTTTCCGATGTGCTCGAAGTCGCTTTATTTGATTTTTGCTTGATTCTCCCAAAAGATATAGTCGCCTTAAGTCGGCTTTATTTGTCTGTTTACGACAAAATGTTTTTTGGGGGATCCATTATATACGTGGGATACCTCCTCCTGATCGAGGGACTTCGAAAGCCCTTGCGACCGGAGAACTTGCTATGCCTTGCTATGTCCAATAGAGTTCCCCACGTTTGGTGAGGATCCGGAATCGAGTCTTAATCTCTCCGAAGACATATTGCTATTGGGGGTGTTTCCAGATTCCAAGGAGAAAACTGGTGTTGGTCTAGGCGTTTTGGGGTACTCGACGTGGAAACGACCATCAGATTGTATAGATGGAAGCTTAGGTTGGTCAACTAGGTCATCTGATGGCACTTCAGCAATGGATGGTTTTTCCAAAAAGCTGGCTTTTCGCTTGCTCATATGTGGTTGATCGTCCGGGCTTCCTGCTCCTCCTAAAGGTTGACCACCGCCTGCGGTTTGATTGTGCTCCCCCATCTGTGTTAATAATTTCATTATTATGTTTGTGGAATCCTTCGAGTCTGAGGGTCCTGCTAGTTGGGATTTCTGAGCAGCCTCTACGGCTGCGGTAACCATTGCACGTCCTAAAGTTTCGTAAATCGCCCTTACATTTCCCAGATCCGGCTGATCAGTGGTGTTAGTGCATTGATCCCGTTGTCTAGGGGTTTCCTTCTGGTGACCCTCTACTTTGGCGAACGGGTTCTGCGATACGTGTACTCCTAGAGTCTCCTCCGTGTTCAATGTCGTTGCACGGCCACAGCAAGGACACCCCGTCCCCATCCTTGCTCCTTGCCCATTGCTAAGCCTAGGAGGTGGTATGTAGATGGGCATAACTCGGTCTTCTGGACGAAGAACATAGTACACCGGTGGAGCTTGGTTTATACCACGGGAAAAATGACGAAACTGGCTTTGCGAATGCTTCCGCTTGGGTGGAGCATAGTTCTCGGGTCTGGTTCTGGAATTCGTTCCAGGTGGGCCGTCCGGCGGAGCTCTTATACTCGGTGCAATGTGAACCGATCGAGAAGGTCGCTCTGTCGATGTTCTGGAATTGGGAAACAAGGGAATCGTCTGCACCGAGATGGGCATGGCCTGCATCTGTCCACAAGAACTCGGCTGTTGGGAAACCAGCTGGATCATAATGGTGTTCGGCTGACCTGTGCCACTGGTGACCCTCGACTCCATTACTGAGGAAGATCTGTCACGAAAAATTTGTACTCATTACTACAGCGTATAATTAGTTATGTCACACCTACTGAGATTTCATATTTTATTTTGGAGTGCTTTATTTTGATCTTTAAATGTTGTTCTCTCTTGAAATTAAAGCATATTTTACGATTTGTATTACCCATTCGGTCATGCAGCTAAGTAGGGTAATTTCTTAAGAGTAGTAGTTCGGTAGTGATATCACTAAAAGTTAAGGGTGGTAGATTAATATAAATAAATAATTTCGTAAGGAAAGAATGTGGAGTTCCCCCTAGGTAAGTGGGTATTGGAAGTTAAAAGCGAAATCCATTTGGCATAATCGGGACCATACTCTTTAAATTACGTTCATTAACTTATTGAAAGGTGCCCAACCCCCTTTGGAGGGCTGCACGCGGCATGACCTTTACGACACCTCAAACTAATCGAACTATTGCGTCACCGAAACTTAGGGGCTCATACTCTGCAATGAGATACAGTGTGCGATACAAGGTGAGATTATTTTAGAACGATTTCATGTCGCTGCCAAAATAGAATTTTGCACAGGCTTTTCGCCACCAGAGATAACTGCTATTAATGAAAGCTAGTATCAGTGGCGGTCTGGAGTATAAAAGCTTGCCAATTTGCCCAGTTAGAGCACACTTACAGAACCAGTAGGAACTCAACTGCACCATGAAGTCCAGTAAGTCAACTGAGGAAATCGAAAAGGATTCCCAATTCTAAAATACCATTCTCCGCCGATCCATAGCTCTAGCTTTTGTCTGCCTTGCCCTCTTTGTGGTGCTCTTCACCGCCGTGAACGCATGCGATCCCAATACCAACAACCAGCCCGACTGCAGCAACGCATCGAACGTTCAAGTGAAAATCCGCAACTTCTGGGATCCCACCCGCTACTGGTGGTGTCAGTCCTCCAGCTCCACAGCCGAGGCTGTGGTGTGCGCGGAGTCGGCAGATAGCGTGACCACCGGATTCGACCCCACATTGAAGGAGTGCGTTCCCTGGTCTCAATGGTCCTGGACTGCTTACTGCCCCTAAGTTGAATGCATTTTTATAAAATAAAAATGAAAATAAATTGCAAGCTTAATGATTACTTATATTGTTTGGATTTTTATGCATATTTCGAGCTCTAACGAATATTTAAGCTATATTTGAAATGTTATAGAACTACCGAGCTCGGCACTATCTTCCAGTTCTCAACCTATATTTTGTTTCTGTTGCTCGCTTTCTTGGGAACTATATATATTTTTTGAGACTTTTAACCAAATAATTTCTTGGAAAACTAACTGTACTGCTGTTAAGACTGTACTGCTGCTAATCATACCCGTTAGTCGTAGAGTAAAAGGGTATACTAGATTCGTTGAAAAGTATGTAACAGGAAGGAAACGTTTCCGACCTATAAAATATATACATATATTCTTGATTAGGATCAGTTTTGAACAATTAATTAATTAACTTAATTAATTGAATAAATTAATTAATATTATATAATTGTATAACCAAGTGTACTATAAAACTTGGTAAAATGTACTTGTTTGTTTGAAACTGAATGGCACGCTCTTCATATGATGGCGTCAAATGGGCCAACTGTCGGGACACAGATACCATAGATCAGAGATTATTTTTAAACATGAACATGAAATCTTCTTTTAGAAATAGCATGTATTGTGCCGATTGTTGTTGACAATATGTTAAGGATAGATAGCAGGGTGCTATAAACAGTCGACCGTTACGTTCGCATTCGGATTTAATCACTCGAAAAAACTACAATGAAAGCAGGTGAGTTTTGCTGATGACCTCATATCCTTTAAACTTTTTTCCCGATAGCGATGGAGTGCCCAATTGCGTGGGACGCTCTGGAGTGGTTCCCCGTGACTTCTGGGATCCCACCCACTATTGAAATATTGCAATAGCACCGGACAGGATTCGATTCGATTGGACTGCGTGGATTGAAGTGTTTGGAAATGGTATCCGCCATGACCCATATTCTAAACAGAATATCATTTTCTTATTAAATTTTGTTTTATCAAAAGATATCCGACAATGTTCAATTACTAAAAGTCTTGGATATTTCTGATTCGAAAGTTACATAAATTGTAGGCTCTATATCAAATTTGTAACAGAGTATTAAATGCTTTAAAAAGTTTATGTTCTGGGAGATTACCTCGTTAAGAAGTGTGAAAAGAGGGTTAGTCACACGAGGAATTACACATTTGGTCCCACAGACGACCCTAAGCCCTCGATATGCACAAGTACGCAACTAGTTTTTTGTGCGCTTTCGCTTTATGGAACCTTTGGGGAGCCAGTGCAATAAATGGGGATATTTCCAAACACACAGCTGCATTGTCCAAGCCACCAATGCCGTATTATACAATCGAGAACCTTGGAGTGCACCAGCAGCACTGGTTTGTTTACAATTCCCTAAGACAAAATGGAACTTCGGCGAGAATTGATAACATGATGCAACGCATAGAGATGCGATTGCAGGCCCTTCAAAGCCAGGTGGACGCACTACTTCAGTCTCTAAAGCAACAAATTCCACCCTACATTGAAAACATAAAAAAGTCCTACAAGATCAACACGGCAGTGTTCACAAAGGGCGGCTTAAGGCACTTTTATTTGGAAAAGCAAAGTATGTACACCTGGGATGACGCATACGTCCAGTGTCGTCAAATGGGCGGTCACCTGGCGAGCATCCAGAATGAGAAGGAGCTGAATGAAATCTTCGCAGAAGCCCCCAGCAATCAGTACTGGGTGGACATCACCAACCGCCACGAAGATGGGGCGCCCTTCCTTTCCGCTCTATCCGGAAGGAAAGCTCCACTTCTGAAATGGAAGTCCAAAAAGTCCACAAATACGCACCATCATTGCGTGTACATCTATGCTAAAGATGTTTACTATGATAAATGTTATGAAAAAAAATCTTTCGTTTGCCAAGCAGAGCAGTGGGCGTAAGCATATAGGAAAAATATTTTAATCTAATTAATAATAAATGTATTGCATTTAATAATAAACTTATAAAGATTAAACTGGTCGGATGATTTCATTATAAATAGATAGTTTAAGTCAAACGTTTTTTCCCCAACGTTTCATCCCCAGTCTTCATTACGTACATATGTGTATCTTTTATATTTTATCTATTCCCTAACAATAATCGACTGGTCTGCACTGAGTATTATTTCTGAATTGCCTCAATCTAGTTATTTGCATCACCCACAAAATTCACACAGTTTCTTAAATTGTTCGTTCCTTATTTATCTTGTGAACGTATCTTGTTGCTGGGAACATGGTTAAGAATCCGGAAGTTGATTTGGGTCTACCCATGGCTAGTTGGTATCGGGGTCTGTCGCTCGATCAGATGCAAGCAGCTGATGACCTGGGAATGGCACTTCAATTCGATATCAGGTCCATTCGGGATTGCATGCTGCGCCTGGGAGTGCGTCCTTTGGTCAGGAACCGTCAACTCGTTAGAATTGTGCGTTTCAGTCGTGGCCAGAGCCTGGCCTTTCTCTACTTTCTGTTCCAGGAGCACTACGACACTGGCGGTTCTTGCGGAAAGTACACAGTCAATGGACAACTCTTGCTCTCGGCCATCGCCTATCTAGATTTGCCCGCAACTTTTCGAGCTCTAGACAAAGTTCTACCTCTACATGGAAATGCAATCGGTGAATCAAAAGTATCGCTGAACGATCAACAGGCTAGTAATTTAATCATATTAATGATGTACTATTATAAAAATCTTGTGCTCTTCCAGAATCGGTCTGCTCGGCCTTCCTTCGCAACTCCGAATCCTACGCGCAATTCAAAAAAGATAGATGAAGAAATGCCTATGGATCTCCCAGCTACATTTAGAGCTCTGAGCAGAGTTCTGTCCTCGCATACATCTCGAAAGAAATCATCGTCTTTGCGTAAAAGGGAACAGAGCTCGAGGCCCTACTTTCAAAAGCTGCCACGTCCCAGAACGGTCCGTCGGTCCAACCAGTTCTTATCGGACTCCCCGCTGTTAAAGACTCAGATTCCTAACGAAGTGGGGGATCCGAAGGAGGATGAGGACCGATGGTTCGCCGACTTTCAGTTGCATCCCATCCAACGCACTGTTAAGGCAGTTATCAACTACGAACTGTGCCACATGTTCGACCACATAGACGAGATTGCCACTGATCCTGCACAGGAAGCGAGGGATCTGTGCGAGTTCCATGAGGAAACTAGATCACAGGAGCGTCAGGCGTTTCTGCAAGCGCAGCGACGACGCTATTTGGATATGATTGACTTGGAAGGGACTGAAAAGCGAGTAAGTTGTCCTAATAACACAGTAGCATATATTTATTTAATAACTGTTGGCTTCGTCCTTGGCTTTATATTTTAATTTCTCTGGTAAAGCTTACCAGGGAGAGGATTATTCATCACCTCAATCGCGACGTGGATGAGTACCTGCTAAAGTTTGGTGACAAGGGCTATAGTCCTGGTGTGCCTGCTTTCCGGAAAACAGGGTGTGTTGCCTGCAACGAATTGGTGCACGTGAGCTTGGAGGCTCCGCCCCAGGTGCTTCTTCTCCAAGGTGAATGGGGACGTCTGTACGACAGGAGTGGTGCGATGATGCGACTCTGTGCTGGTGAGGATGCCAAACAAGATGCCCTCGCTAAGGAATCGGTTTCTAAGGTCAAACCTAAATATTTTACGGCACCCGGAAACCACAAGACCTTCGCCTTCAACTATGCACAAATTTTTAAAAGGGACAGCACGAAATCTTTGGACACAAATGATGTCATTAAGAAGTCCTTGATGGAAGCACTTGACGAAAATCTGGAGCATCGGCAAGGAATTGCATTGGGGACCATGAGGAGCAGCCACATCAACGAAGCTGTCTCCCGGTGTGTGAGAAAAATCTTTGAAAAGAGTTTGCTGGCGGTGCCGACTACGCCGACTCCCAAGGCTTCTACTGAACGCCTCGTCTACGACCGCGAGCGAATCGATCCGGATGACGAAAAGTTTATGGACCAAATGCTGAGCGATGGCTTTGAAGTCCTGCGTCGCGATCGCAAGCTGGTGCTGGCCAGCCTTCACAATGGCCACCAAATTCCGGAGGTACGGGAGTGGGTTTGTAGAAGATTTGGTAAGCGATATGGCCCACAAACCCGGGCGGAAGTGGAAAGCTACAGGCACAAGATGAGTAAATTGTCGGAGATGAAAAAGAAATTGATTCCGCTGTTGTCTAATATAGATCCGCTGATAGTCCAACAAAACCCCATACCTTATGCACTTTTCAAGGACATCATGGAAAAATCGAACAAGTTTAAGAAGTCGTTTCGGGAGGAAGTCCTTCAGATCATCCTGAAGCAATCCCGTCTCTGCTGGCAGGCTCAGCACAGCCTGCGCTTTGTCAACAGTTCCCGGATTCGTCGTACCTTTTTTACATATCTGCCAAGTTGTGCCAGGAGTATAGATCCCACCTTCAGCCACTACCTAGCACACAGAAATGGCTAAACAGGCATTAGATTCTAAGTTAGTTAGTGTGCACAGAATGATATTTTGTAAGAACCGGATTTTACAATTATCAATGTGCTCATAATGGACATTCGATTTTGGGAATCTCTAGACCAAATTGCTTTGTTTTTCTACCTCTGATTATTTTTACCATTTGACATGTAGAGCTTCGGAATATAAGATAATGTATATGTTTGATGTTTTGTCTATTTTATTAACGGATACTTAAAGCTTTTGGAAGTCATAAGTATCAACGAATTTCTTTTTCAACTGCAAAATTTAATGTATTCCACCAATTTCTTTTGTTTTCCTACTAAGTAAAACAATTTCCATGCGAAACAAAAAAAAAATTGTGGACGGCTTTGTCTTGTGCCTAGCCGACCATTTATGTGTTCCATCCTTGTCTAGGGGAGTGCTAACTTGCTCTCCTTCCAAACAACACGTTTGCACTGGATGCTTGCCGCCTTTTATACGCACGCTTTGCGGAATAAGAACTTGGGAATTTTAAGAACGCAGTGCATGGGAATTAGTGATATGCAGTCAGCAACTTTTACATACTTAGTTTGTATCAAAACCTATTTATGCAACCTATTTTTTCATAATTTATTTAAAGGCAAATGGTTCTGCTAACATTGACACTGAAATTAATGTGCTCACTGATTTCCCGTTTTGGGTACCTGCAACGTGACATTAACGACAACTCCAAATGACTACAAGGGCCATCGACGACCCAGTCACCAAAAATTGATTAATCCATCCACGTAGTTCCCGAAAAACATATAAAAAGACAGGTAATGAACAGCAAGTTATCAATCAATCAACAACGATTCCCTCATCAGTTTGTGTATCCAATTCGTTCAAGCCAATATGTGTATCTACGTGAAGTCATCCTGTTCATTGCTGGTCCTGATCCTGGTACTTGGAGCGGTTTCAGCTCAGCCGGCGAGGCTGGCAAAGCAACTTCAGAAACAGCAGGCAGCACCCTACCCATCCGCCGACGAACTGAAGCCAGAGGTGCCATTCGAGGAAGGAGTGCCCGATCAGACTTATGGACCACCGGACCTGACCTACGGACCTCCGCCCACCGATGCAGTTGAGCAGCTTCCCAGCGATGAGGAGCCGCAAGACTTCACACCCGATCCAGATGCAGAGGAAGTTCAGCCCATCCAGCAGGCTCCCGCTCGCCTGACCAAGCAGATTAGGAGCCGCCCACAAGCTCAAGGACTGATTTTGCTATCTTCGAGTCCATTGAGAGTGGCTAATTCCAATGGAATACCATTTCCAGTGACCATTCAAGCCCTGTGGTAGGAATATCAAAGGACATTCATTGTACTGATTTTTATAAACATTATATTAATTATTGTCTTTGTTACTGTTGAACTATTAAAGAACATTTGCTGATACACCGAATTGATGTATTTACAAAACTTTTTCGTAGGTCCCTATTTCGGGACCAGTACGGTGAGGAGTATACATATATATATATAATTACAAATAATCGAACGATAAAAGTATGCAGATAACATTAGCTAATTTCGGTTTTGGGAAATTCTTAGCAGTTGCTTTGGAATGATCTGCCCCGACCTAGACTACATAGTAAAAGCTAAATAATAATTTAGTTAAGAATACTACGTAAAATCACGTTTGGCATTGTGCGGTCTTCGAGTTAACACAGAAATAATCTCCAACTAACAAACTGAACAAATGTTGAAAAACTTTCTACTTAAAATGCTAGTTATTGTCTGGTACGATTGCAACTGGCTGATAACAAAAAATGCAACTTATTTGCCATAAATATGAATAATTCACACTAAAGCACCGCCACTGGACTGGACCGATACCAGTTGGGAAATGGTAAACAACTAAGGGTATACATATTTGTAGTCTGAGAGTAACTACATAAAGCCTTCGTCATAAATTCGCACACATTTGTAAGCAGAACTAGCCAGGTTCTGTTTTCGTTTTGCTCATTTCGATTAAACTCAGTGAGTTCTGTCGTTCAGAATTTGAGCCAAGCTGGCCCAGGTGCCGAAAACGAAGCCACCGAGTCCAAAGATCAGTATCAGAACGTCCTTCCATAGCATCCAATTGAAGCGCCCATACCCAACGTTGTAGAAAGTAATAACTTCAATTATGGGTGGAGCAATTAGGGCTAAAGCTGAGCTGCTGACAGCTCCTACCAGCGAGATAATGGAGCCTAGATTGGGAATGCAGGTGGCTAGCAAGACTGTAAAATAAAATACGATAGTGATTAAAATATTTTGAATAATTACTATCTATACGTACATGTAAAAGTGACCAAAACAACTCGCAACACAGTCGCCGAAAGATCCTTGGCCCTCGTTGTATCGAAATGACTCCGCACGAAGGGTTCCACGATGTTTACAGGCACATAGAACTGAAGTGTATATGAGAGGAAGATAGCCACCGCCATTGAAATCCGCACCAACTGGGACAGTCTATATAGGTGAAAAAGAGGGCAATTGTATGAGTTAAGGTGCAGTCTACAAATACCTTACAAAATTGGTTTGCTTGCTTAGAGCCTGATTAAATCCCTCTTTCATACAACTACAACCTTTTGGCAATGGAAAGTTTAATGACTTACGTGTCGCCCTGTGGCAGATTTAGGGTAATGCTGCCCTCCACGTGGTCACCGTACTTCAGGTAGCCGAAAAAACCGACAGCTGTGTACAAGCATGCCACGATCACCATGCCTGTGTTGAGGACACCTGTGGTGCCGCCAAAGTCCTCGGGGGTGCGCATGTTGTTCTCTAAAGGCAGGACAACACCAATTCCTTCGAACGCGTAGATGGCGGTTCCAAAGTACAGCGGCAACGTCGCCCAGGTGGCCACCGGCTTGACCGTGTGCACATCCGGCAGATCCACCAACATGTACGAGAAGGTAATGGCCAATCCGGCAACAGTTAGAAGGGCGGCAACCAGCGAAACTGGAGTCAAATACTTTAGATTCCGCACCAGATTCAACAAGATCATGGGTCCAAGCATTATAAGTAGATAAATCTGCACAGGCATCTTGTAATAGTGGTCCATAACGTCCTTGATATTCAACGCCACAAACAGGAAGTATACGCAGCAGAAACCGATTTGCGTGATAAACAAGAACGTGGTAACGATCCGGCGAGCCAACATGGAGTAGCGTCTTAGTCCCAGGGGTCCTGACTCAAAACTGCAGTATGCCACCTCCGAAAAGTCTAATGATGGCTGCTGGAATCTCCGGCACAACTCGTGGGAGCAGTTAACCAGCATGTGCATGCAGTGGGTGCAGATGGCTCCCATGATCATGGTGCCAAAGAGTCCCACATAAAGGCCGGCGTTCTTAAAGGCATCCGGCATTGCCAGGATGCCCGTACCAATGTTGCCCTTCAGCAGATGAACCAGGGTGTCGAAGTTCGACGTCGGATGCTCCAGGTCGCGATGGTGGGTGGGGTTGTAGCTGGACTTATCCGTCGATCCAATTTCATCATCTCCCGATCCAGAGGCAGCTGCGTGCACTCACAGAGAAAAAGCGAAAAAATTGTAAGTTTATCGTCGTAACTCAGTTTTCTTTGTAGTAACATTTTAGTTTACTTAAAGATCTACTTAAGACTTAAACAAAGGATTTTTGACCTGTTTTCAAACTCACCTGCTAAGCTGTCCTCGCTGTGCACGTTGACAAGCGTGTTGTTCGGCGGAGAGCTGCGCACGGGTCGTGCCGCCGATCCTCGACTGCCCTCGTAGTCAGAGGCATCGCTCTGGAGGAGCAACGGCTGGCGTTCCGTCATCTTTTTCTTGCGCGGCGGACCCTCGGGAATCTGGAAACAGCGGTAGGTAAGTTACTAAGAGCGTGGGACTATATGATGCGCCCTCCCAGGCTGCACGAAACACACTGAAAGTGCAACTTGAGACGCCCGCTTTTCGCCTCGGAATTTTTCCGCTGACTCAGTTTTCCACGCTTATAATAATAGGAGGTTCAGATAGTGCGGTGCATAGTGGACAGTGAACGCGTGCCGTGCGGAGTGGAAAATTTTGACCATGCTGATAGTCGAAGTTAGCCTTGGACTTGACTAAGACTCAAAGTACGTTTAATACGATTATTGCATTACTTTTCATATGAGAAATTGGCGAGTCCAGTCTCCCACTAGAGTATAGCTTTAAAGTCGAAAACACCAACAAGTCGCGAAAAACAATACATACGAGGTGATAAGACCCGCATATCTCCTGCAAAGCCAGTGAGCTTCATAAATCACAATTTATAATGTGTATCCAGACGGTGGAAATATCCACCCATTATATTCAGATTATTGGCTTGAGTCAGCAGACGGAATTATGTACTCCAGTTGCAAGCACAATTAGGCATTATTTTGATATTTAATACTTCCTTGCATGAACATATAAAGCGAAAAAAGTTTTCGCAAATAAACATGAAATGAAAGTGTTTGCTTAACAAATACAAAAAATAATCAAAGATCAAATATCAAATAATCAATGCTGGGTTCGGATCATTCTGTGAACAATCATCATATAGTCAATTTATGTAATACGCATTCAATAGTCCCCTTTTAATATCTTTGAACAAAAGATTTAATGATTCAAGTGTGCATATATGTATGTATGTACATAAAATAGTTTTTAGAGGAGAGATTTTCTATGCGAGGAATTAACAGTGCTTATATCGTAAAGTCTACCTAAATCCAGATAAGCAGCAGACTTATGCCAAGAAATCTTTATTTGAGGGCAATAAACCAAACCAAACAAAGCATTAAGAACTTATTTTCGTTTTATCTTGCATCACAGACTTGCACAACGAAGTGCGGCATTACAGAGATACATAACTATATTTGTTCACTTACACTGACTATATCGGAAATTAGATGTATCTCAACTGAAGATGTTCGAGTTCGCGCTTGAGTTTACGTAGTTGTAGGAACTCGTCTATTGGACAGTTGCAAAAATTATGATGTTAAAACTAAAACTGGAACAAAAACATAATTAACAGATGTACGATACAAAATCAAAATAAGCCCATTCAGCATGCGCAATTTGATGACCAGATATGTGTGGCTGTTCTACCTGTTGAAGGTTGGTCAGTGGTGTCAAGTCCTCCATTGATTTTTTTCCGCTTGACACTGGCAATGAAATGGGTGCTCCTGCAAAGGTCACAACGCTGGTTTATCAATGCGCAGAGCCAATCAAATTAAAAAAGTTCATTAATTACAGAATTTGGGGTGCGTGGAGGGAGGAGGCTCTGCCAATTATCTTCTCCCAGTCTGCGAATAGAACAGAGAAAACATCAGCAATGAATCATGTTGTGTTCATATGAAATAAGTTTGATAACACGGTGCATCACTGTTGTTCAATTGATAGCAAATGTTTATTGTAACGTTGCAACGCACACGATATCCTTTTGTGGTGTTTTAAATACATACGTTACTACTTTCTTCGAACTCAACACGCAATAACAATTGCCTCTCACCCCAAAACAAGCACTGAAGATGCAAAGCAAAACACAGCAATCGAGGTTGATATTCGTATTTATCGATTAATTCACTGATTAGCAGTACAGTGAAAATCGGTTAGAATTATAATAGTTTAGAAAAAGAATTCATCTCTTTAGTTTGCATTACTTTATTAAAATGAAAATAGTTCATCCCTTTTAGACCTTATTCAACTTGACAATATTAATAAATATAACCTTTTGCTAATAAAAATCTAAAATGTGTATCAATTTATATCCTAAACTAAAACATAATTATTATAATATGTTTTAAGCCATTATTTATTAAGTGCCCACTGTACTTCAGCCTTCACCGATAAAGCTTCAGTATTATTTTAAAATTAGACGAACGGTCATACTTTTGAGTTCTCTCCCAATTTGTGACGTGTCTGCGGTTAATTTATAAAAAATCGCCCTAATCCTTAAATTTCCGGACAAATATCACATAAAATAGAAAGATGGTTGAGCTGTCGAGCGTTATTTCCAAGTTCTACAACGACTACGTGCAGAACACCCCCAAGAAATTGAAGCTGGTGGACATCTACCTAGGTTACATTCTGCTCACCGGCATCATTCAGTTTGTTTACTGCTGCCTGGTGGGAACCTTCCCGTTCAACTCCTTTCTATCCGGGTTCATCAGCACCGTCAGCTGCTTCGTCCTGGCAGTGTGCCTTCGCCTGCAGGCCAATCCCCAGAACAAGAGCGTGTTTGCCGGCATTTCGCCGGAACGTGGATTCGCCGACTTCATCTTCGCTCATGTGATCCTGCACCTGGTGGTCATGAACTTTATCGGTTAACAAAGCTGTGTACTGTTCGACTCGGATATATTTATAAATAAAATGTAACTAATTGTATGTTCTCCTATATGCGCCGAAAAAATCGAAGGGTGCTTGTACCCAATCCAAGCGGATTGTAGGTTCCTTAACCTCCATGACAATGGGATCTACTTTCTCCGCATAGTCGATTAGTTGGGGCTCGCCTATGACCTTGCTTGATTCGGATTTTTTCGATTTCTTTTTCTTTGGGGCATCGTTCTTGGTCTTGTGCGGCGCCAGCAGAGAATCGTTGACATTGAGAGTTACCAGATCCCTAAATACAGCTTGATTCGGCGCGAAGTTCATCTTTTGGGTGACCTTTGGGGTGTAATCAAAATATGTTTTTAAAAGACAGTCTACACAATTGAAGGCATTAATTAACCTTTGGTGCGATGGACGACCTAGCTCCTGATTGAAGTTTCGAGTCCAGCTTTATGTTGGATATGATTTGGACCTCGTTCTGCTTGCGCACGGTGGTGTTGTATTGGGGCACGGCTAACTTGTTCGCCGGGAAGTTTTTCCCGGTAGACATAGCGTCCCCTTTCGCCATCGGACTGCCGGGTGAGCGGATCTCTGCATCAAGACCGTTGCAGGATTCGACAAGCACATTCGGCGGTGCAGACGGCAGGTGGGCCAATGGGACGCGTCGTGTTGTAGAATTCCTTTGGTTGGCATGGACTACGTTCCTACGTTTGTGTGGCATTTTAAACAGGCCCGCAAGAATTACGGTAGTACATTTCAATTCGCCTCTGATAAAAAACAGCACGCCACACTGATTCGTATATTTAACAGCACTGGTAAAGTGTCAACTGTTCCACAGTGGAACACAACACTGCAAAAATAAATGTACTGGCACGAATAAAATACAGAATGTATCATTTATTATAATTTGTATTGTAAGTTATTGTTTAATATTCGCGCTACTTTTTAATATTTCTTTTCGAATACCCATTGTATGCATTCTCACGCCGGCTTGAACACTTTTCAACACTGCCCAACAATCAGCTGTTTTTGGTTTGCTGCGAACCGAATATTTTGAAAACTTAGAGGAAAATGGCATTATCCCGTGCCAAGCCCGGCGAACTGCCCAAGGACGCGGTTGTTATAACAGAGGATCAGGCCCTTAAATACCAATGGAAGATTATAACTGCCTGGGACAAAATCGGCGATGTGTAAGTGCAGGAATTCCTCGAAAGAAGCCGCTTACCTAACAACTGATCCAATTATTGTCTTGTAGATGGTCGTTGCGCTACACGCCCGGAATTCTGAGTGCCTTGGCGGCGGGAACGGGAGCTTACATAAATAACCATTATCGCACCAAGCTGCGACTCGGAGGACATGGTCGGTTATCCAGTTACCTGCCGATTGTCGCCGTTCCCGCCATATTCACGATGCTGGCGCACAAGTTTTTCATTCAACGGCCCATCCTCTTAAATCCGCTGGGAGAGTGCCCCGTGTGCATCCAGGTGCGCAGTGCTGCCTTCCAGACAAGTCTGGGCATCGTATATCCCACAATTCTGGCCCCATTCGCCGCATTTATGTTCGCAACCCGCTGCTACACGTACCGCATTCCCTCGATCACGGAAAGTCCGAGAGAGGTGTTTCAGCTGTGGCGGAAATTTACTCGCCCTATTGTCCCGGCCCTGGGAACCATAATCGGACTGCAGGCCCTGCTAACCATGTTCCTCACAGGCCAGGAGGATAAGCAGAACTTTAAACTAATGCTGCGCATGAAGGAGATCGAGCACCACCTGGAGCAGGAACACTTGCCACAGCGAATGGACTTTTAATTGTTGGACATTTTTAGCTTAGCTCAAATATAGGCGCATTTCAGAATTTAATCTAAATACATTTTGTAATATTTGTGACTTTTTAATGGATCGGAAGCATGGAAGAATATAATTTAGTAGATACAATTTTAATATGAAAACTACGATTATCATCTAGGCGGTTATAAAGTGCAATAAATATAAATTAGGCATTTGGACTTCATATTAAATATCAAACACAAAAAAGCTGTTATTTAGCCTAATTTTGCCATCCCTAAATTTATCGATATCTCACATTGTAGTTTGCCGCATTGTCTATCGTATAGGTGCCAGCCTCACACGTTGCTGCAGTCGGCTGACGAAATTGTTTGCATTTGCATTTACTGTTCAAAACGTGAGTAATACATAACTTGTTTTGGTTAAGTGCAAGTCCGGGCTATTAATGTATACAAAAAATGATCAAGAAAACGTTTTTCTGATTCGATTTGCTCCCGAATTGTGTAACTATGTCACGTAGTGTGAAGAGTGCACTTTCACTGCTCCGATTTTTGGCCGTTTTGAGGGGTTAGGGAGCCCCAATTGTCGCGTGGCAACGTTTTATGCTAAGTGCACTCACTATTTGTCCGTTGCAGAACCAGCAAAATGAAGTTACTCACCGCGAAGGAGGTGCGCAACGCCTATCTGGACTTCTTTAAGGAGCAGAAGCACATCTATGTTCATTCCTCCAGCACTATTCCGCTGGACGACCCCACGCTGTTGTTCGCCAACGCCGGCATGAATCAGTTCAAGCCCATTTTTCTGGGCACCGCCGATCCAAACAGCGAGATGTCAAAGTGGGTACGCGTGGCCAACACGCAGAAGTGCATTCGTGCCGGCGGCAAGCACAATGATCTGGACGATGTCGGCAAGGATGTCTATCACCACACCTTCTTCGAAATGCTGGGAAATTGGTCTTTCGGCGACTATTTTAAGAAGGAGATCTGCTCCTGGGCCTGGGAGTTCCTCACGAAGCGGCTCGCCCTGCCTAAGGACCGTCTGTATGTGACTTATTTTGGTGGTGACGAGGCCAGCGGCCTGGAGCCCGATCTGGAGTGCAAGCAAATGTGGCTGGACTTGGGCCTGAAGCCGGAGCACATCCTTCCCGGCAGCATGAAGGACAACTTCTGGGAGATGGGCGAGACTGGGCCCTGCGGCCCATGCTCCGAATTACACTTTGACCGGATCGGTGGACGCAGCGTCCCGGAACTGGTCAACATGGACGATCCCGATGTCCTGGAGATCTGGAATCTCGTGTTCATCCAGTACAACCGAGAGTCCGATGGCAGCTTGAAGCAACTGCCCAAGAAGCATATCGATTGCGGCATGGGTTTTGAGCGGCTGGTGTCCGTCATTCAGAATAAGCGATCCAACTACGATACCGATCTGTTTGTGCCACTCTTCGATGCTATCCAGGCGGGCACTGGTGCCCCAGCTTACCAGGGTCGCGTGGGTCCCGACGATGTGGACGGCATTGACATGGCCTACCGTGTGCTTGCCGATCACGCCCGCACCATCACCATTGCTTTGGCTGATGGCGGCACTCCGGATAACACTGGCCGAGGTTATGTGCTGCGACGCATCCTTCGTCGCGCTGTGCGGTAAGATAACTTAGAATTACGCCATACACACATAATAGGTCATTTGAATGCTATGTATATAATGGTATCATTACCCAATCTTTATTCTTAATCAGTTTAGAAATTGCACTATGCTAAAATTGATAATCTTTATATTATGTTCCCACAGCTATGCCACAGAGAAGTTAAATGCCAAACCCGGTTTCTTCGCCACCCTGGTGAACACAGTGGTTGAATTGCTTGGTGATGCCTTCCCAGAGGTGAAAAAGGATCCTCAGCACATCATTGATATCATCAACGAAGAAGAGTTGCAGTTTCTTAAGACTTTGACGCGCGGGCGCAATTTGCTGAACCGCACAATCGAAAAGTTGGGTAACCAGACTACCATTCCCGGAGATGTGGCTTGGCGGCTGTACGACACCTACGGCTTCCCAGTCGATCTTACCCAGCTTATGGCGGAGGAGAAATCCTTGAAAATCGATATGGATGGCTACGAGGCAGCTAAGCATAATTCATATGTACTTTCGCAGGGCAAAGGTGCTAGCAAGATCGAGGAGATCAATCTGGATGTGCACGCCATTTCGCAGTTGCAGGAGCAAGGTGTGCCACCAACCAACGACACCTTCAAGTACAAGTACGAGGCTGTGTCCGATGAACGTGACTCCGCCTACAACTACGGCGTGTGCAATAGCAAGATTGTTGCCCTGCGTTTCGAAAACCAGTTTGTAAACGAGATCACCAGCGGACAGAAGGCGGGCATCGTTCTGGACAAGACAAACTTCTATGCAGAGAGCGGTGGTCAAATCTACGACCAAGGTGCACTGGTTAAAGTCAACGACGAGGCAAACGAATTCCTTGTGGACCGTGTCTACAACCGCGGAGGCTACATTCTTCACATCGGCATTGTAGAGGGCACACTGAAGGTAGGTGATGAGTTGGAACTGCACATCGACGTGGAGCGTCGCTGGCTGACCATGAAAAACCACTCAGCCACCCATGCCCTCAACCATTGCTTGCTGCAAGTATTGGGTAAGGACACCGATCAGAAAGGTTCTCTGGTAGTGCCAGAAAAGCTCCGCTTCGACTTCAACAGCAAGGCAGCAATGACCATAGAGCAAGTGGCCAAGACGGAACAGCTGACTAAGGAGATGGTCTACAAGAATGTGCCGATCTACGCAAAGGAGTCGAAACTGGCCCTGGCCAAGAAAATCCGAGGCCTGCGATCTGTCTTTGACGAAGTTTACCCAGATCCCGTTAGGGTAATCTCTTTCGGAGTGTCCGTAGATGACCTGGAACAGAATCCCGATTCTGAAGCCGGAGAACAAACCTCCGTCGAGTTTTGCGGGGGCACCCATCTGAGGCGCTCGGGTCATATCATGGATTTTGTTATCAGCAGCGAAGAAGCCATCGCCAAGGGTATCCGACGCATTGTGGCTCTTACAGGACCCGAGGCTTTAAAAGCGCTGAAGAAATCTGAAGCCTTTGAACAAGAAATCGTTCGGCTTAAGGCCACCATCGATACCGATAAGTCTGGTAAAGACTCCAAGTCGCATGTTAAAGAGATTGTTGAGCTGACTGAACAGATCTCCCATGCCACCATTCCCTACGTAAAAAAGGACGAGATGCGTAACCTCCTGAAGGGTTTGAAGAAAACTCTGGACGACAAGGAACGTGCCCTGCGTGCCGCCGTCTCAGTCACTGTTGTGGAGCGCGCCAAGGCTTTGTGCGAGGCCAATCCCAATGCCACCGTGTTGGTTGAGCAGCTGGAAGCCTTCAATAACACCAAGGCACTGGATGCTGCACTGAAGCAAGTGCGCAGCCAGCTGCCCGACGCTGCCGCCATGTTTTTGTCAGTGGATGCGGACTCCAAGAAGATATTCTGTCTAAGCTCGGTGCCGAAAAGTGCCGTGGAAAAGGGCCTGAAGGCCAACGAGTGGGTGCAGCATGTATCCGCTACGCTGGGTGGCAAGGGAGGTGGCAAGCCGGAATCCGCCCAGGCATCGGGCACAAACTTCGAAAAGGTGGACGAAATTGTCCAGTTGGCCAGCAAATTCGCTCAATCCAAACTGTCTTAAGACCATAAAGGATTCGGAAGCGGCAAGACCTTCAATTACTCACAATTTTGATACACAACTATGCTTAACCTTAATCTGTTGATCTGTTTTAAACAGCATTTCAAATGAATTTTTACGGCTATTTATAAAATAAAAGCATTTATACACCTAAATTAAATAATGTGTTTTGCTGTATCCGTAATTCGTTAAAAACTGATATGGAATGGTATGGATAGTTCACACTTTAAAAATGGGTCTTTATTGTTTTCCACATACAAACTTTATAACCAAAACTGAACTTATTTTGAGCATTTAATTATATCTAAACTTTATAAGTAATGTCATATCAAGTCACTATTTAAAATAAAAAAACTTGTGAGTATCTATGTATGATGT